GGATGAACCGGCAACCTTGTGGGAGCCCCAATATTTGCAAAAGTTAGAGGATGTCCCCCACAGAGGAAAACACTCTAAGGGGGACATGGAATCCATGCCACAAAAGCCCACTAAGGGCTTATGCCCAGTTGGCACGCTCAGGATGCTGACTAACAGAGAGGGAAAGCAAAATACGAGGGGGAAATGGAAGTGCGAATAGAATGAAGTGTCTGGAATCCTGAGCAAGAGTATTGCAACATTTCTGTGTACTAATAGCAAATTCAATTCGCTGAGTGCTGATCCTTGTGTAACTAAAAAAAAGGCACCATCTGTGCACAGGGAAGAAGTATCTGCAGGCTTGGAGGAATCCCAAGTTTGCAGAAGTAAAGCAAAGTAGCAGCCCACTGAGCTGAGCATGTTCAGTAGCCAAGAGTGATGACCGATGTCAAGGGACAGGGGTAGAAAACCAGCTGGACAGAAAACACAGTGGAAAAGAGAAACCATGAACAAGCACACTCAGCTTTTTGTTTCAGGACCCACCTGACTAGAACAAATATCTGCCCGAAGCAAAACTATCCATCCAGCAATTTCTCCATAGACTGAATTGGGTGATCTGGCCCACAGTGAGCCACAAAAAAAAATCAAGTGCACTGTCCAACAGTTCTAACGAAGAAAATCCATCAAGATGTGTAATGCACATGAATATTTTAAGAAATAGATATACCCTCAGCCATCAGTCAGACCCCAGTCAGTGTGAGCATAACCTCATCCATTAAAAACCTTCCTGCACATTTAGCACATAAAAATGTGCATTTAACAAGTGCTACTCTCCAATACCCTCTCAAGGGTTCACTTCTATCACTCAAATCTATTTTTCCAGCATTTGAGAAAATGTTACAGTCACCACCCCTAGATAATACCTCAACTGCTTTTCTAACTACTGCATGGAATGTGGTTGTGCAAGTGTCCTGGATTGGATAATGTTGTAAAATGATGTGTCACGGCACACTCATCTCCTCGCCAAACTATTAGTAAACCCTGCTGCCCCTCATCGAGAACGCCCTTCCAGCAGATGTCAAAGCGATAAACAACTACCTGACATTCGGAAGACATCTTAAGGCAGCCCTGTTCAGGGAAGTTTTTAACGTGTGATATTTTACTGTATTTTTGGTTTCTATGGAAGCCGCCCAGAGTGGCTGGGGAGGCCCAGCCAGATGGGCGGGGTATAAATAATAAATTATTATTATTATTATTATTATTATTATTATTATTATTATTATTGAGATGCATTTCTAAAAGTAACAAACAAGAGTCATGCTGCACCAACGCTTGGCCATTTTGTGAAACTCTCATTTAATCTTTATACTGTAATTCTTTGAAAGCGATAGGCTCCCTCCCTCCTGTGTTTGAGTGCAAATCTAGCTAGATGTTTAAGAAAGGAGGGAGCTATGCTTATGATATGTGCAAAGGACCATGATGTCAAAGTAAAACAAAACCTACATTGAACAGAGCTGTAATATCCTGCCATGTTAGGAAATGCCACCGCGGACACACAAGGCATTGCACACAGCTCAGAAACAACAGTAATTAAGGCTGCTAAATGGGGGGTGATATGTTTGTGCCAGTTTCGCCAGCCTGCTATTCTGCAGATGATTTGGACATCAGATGGTCTGTAGGGCACCAGATTGGTGGAAGCTGGTCTAAGCGCTAATCTAAGAGCTTTCCAGACATCTCCAAGACAAAGATACGTTGCCAACCAATGCACCCAATACTGTCAGGCGGGTTTGGGCCTGCAGATGTTAGTCAAGATAACATAATGGATCAGTATGCTATTGTAGCATCATGATGCATTGTGCGCCACTATAGTTATTGGGGGCTCGTTAGCCTGGGAAGGTAGTCTATCCAGGAGAAGGAAAACTCAGAAAACTCTGACCCTAAACTTCTGCTGCCTTGGGGACATCTTTGGGAGAAGGAGTAAACCCTACACATATCCAGAGTGGAGTCCCTAAGATGGTCGGATGGTGCCTTGTACGCCTCCTCCTGGCATCTCCTGCAGCCAAGCTGGTGCCAAATGTATTGCTTACTTTCCTTTGGACCCACAGCAAGGCTGAGGAGGGGGGCGGTGTCTTGTTGTCTGGGCAGCCCAGGACCTCCATGTTCAATGCCCAGGCTTGCACCCCAGGGAGGTCAATTCAGTACTGCGGTTTGACCTCATCCCCAGAGGCACACTCCATGGTCTCTCAAGACCGACAGAAGCCAACATCAATATCCGACTCATGATCGTTTCGTACAGATTAGTAAACCTCTTACCGTATGTACTTTGCTCACAGTCACAAGAATTATAGTGAGGCTGTCTAAACTGGCCCACTCTGAGCCAAGGAAGATGTAACATGACTCGCCATTTATGGGTAAGGAATAGGGGGCGGGTACGGGCAATCCCTGTCTCCACTCCCATCAGTCCGTTATGAATTCCTTTCATCCTTCCGCAACCATCCTTAACCACAGCCAACCCTGCTTCCAATTGTGGTAAATGGTAAACTCTGTTTGGCATTAACCATGGTTAAGGATATGAAGAGGGTGTGTGTGTGTGTGTGTGTAGAATTTGCACCAGAAAGGAGACAGACAAGAATAAAGGAGCCCACATTCCAATGGCCCATGCCCAGTCTCTGTACCAGTAGACTCTGTTGCATCTACACCAGTCCCTTTTTAATGTACAGATTGGAAATTCTAATCCATGTTAATGGATCTGAATCATGTTAATTGTAGTTTTTCTGGAATAAAACAGTGCGATTGCTGTTTCAATCCACCTTTTGTGAAAGCTTGTATTGAGCGTAACTGATCATCTCATCAATGAACACTGCATTCTCCAAAAGAGTTTGTAAACTGTTAGGAAGATCCAGAATGTTATTACACACCTAGAATGATCATGCAAACAACTGTATATTAATCAGATATGACATTTCATACTTTCTCATATAAAACCTTATGGTAGATATATATTGGAAAGCTTTTTTTAAAGCTGGGAGAATGCAGACACGTATAAACATTCAATTCATATGGCAAAGACTGCTTAGTTACATTTCTCCTCATGCAGAGTGTTTACTCTGAAGTAATGCAAACTGTATCTTTAAAGTATCCCAATGGAAAACAAGACGTGCATAACTTCACATCGCAACATTTTACTACAGAGGCAGATGACTGTAGCAGGCAAGCTTGCCTAAATGTTTTCAGCAGGTGCCGAAATAGTACACTGAAGAGTACAGTTTACACCTCACTTTTAAATGAAGATATCTGGTTCTGCTTTGGCCATTTGCAGGTGGCAGTTGGCCAGTTTTAATCTATTTTGGTATTTTTACTTTTGAATGGTTGTGAATTCTTCTTCTTTCTGCTGCTTTGACATGATACCTGAACTGGCAAAGCCTATTTATAGCTGCAGCACCACCACACCCACAGGTAGGTCTATAAGGAGATGGGAATAAACCGGCAAAACAGAGCTGGCATGACCCAAGGAACCTTTAGGTCCTAAATCACAACCTGTGCAAAGCATGTTTGGTGAGATGTTTGAATTGAGCCACAGTATGGAGGAGGAGGGTTAAACCACAGAGCCTAGGACTTGCCGATCAGACGGTCGGCGGTTCGAATCCCTGCGACGGGGTGAGCTCCCGTTGCTCGGTCCCTGCTCCTGCCAACCTAGCAGTTCAAAAGCACATCAAAGTGCAAGTAGATAAATAGGTACTGCTCCGGCGGGAAGGTAAACGGCCTTTCTGTGCGCTGCTCTGGTTCGCCAGAAGTGGCTTAGTCATGCTGGCCACATGACCCGGAAGCTGTATGCCGGCTCCCTTGGCCAATAAAGCAAGACGAGCACCGCAACCCCAGAGTTGGCCACGACTGGACCTAATGGTCAGGGGTCCCTTTACCTTTATGGCGAAGGAGAGCAAATATATTATTGAGTGTATCAGCTCTTTAACTCACAGTATTATATGCTTGCAGAAATGCATTTGTGGCTGAAACTGTGAACTATTTCGCATTTGTAGCAGCCCTTGAGCAAGCTCTTGAGTGTGCAGGTTTATGACATCGTGCTACGCACAGAAATGAAACGGTTCCTCCAAACTCTATATACGTAAGCTGTTGCCGCAAACTGTGTCCCTCCCAAGAGTTCAAAATGCAGCTGTCAGAACTGCGCAAATTGCTGAAGTCATATCCACAGTCCTGACGTGAAGGTCATTATCCACAGGTCATGCATGTGGCACCATCCACGAGCACAACAGTACAGCACACTCTGAAGGCACAAGGTTTTGGTTTGGGACCTAGATGTATAAATGCTACCTCCTTCCATCTAAAGCCACCAGGCCCTTTGGTCTTTGTCTGAAACCCTTCACTGTATAAGCTGAAGCAGCCCACAAAGCAGAACCGTTTCAGCAGTAGCACACGGACTATGGAATTCACTGTCTAGTATTCTGCTTGCCTTGAGACATGTTATTCTTCCCATATCAGTGGCGTAGCGTGGGTTGTCAGCACCCGGGGCAAGGCAAGTAATTTGGGCCCCCTAACCCGTGGATTTGCGCCCCCTAACCTGTGGATTTGCGCCCCCTAACCAGTGGATTTGCCCTAACCCCAGATGTTGCGCCCGGTGCGGCCGGCCCCCCCTGCACCCCCCACGCTACGCCACTGTCCCATATGCTTTAGACCTGAGTAGTAGCTGAATGCTTATTGTGGAAACCTATTTACTGCTGATACTTTGAATTTTTTGCTTTGCTTTCTGGTTTGAGGTTTTTATTTGCAGCTCGGGAATTACGGATCCCATTTAATACATGACTGTTGGACATTCTAACAGCCCCACATGCAGAAAGAAAAGACGGCTAATAATATCAAAACAGTGGGTGATGGGGAGGGAAACAGAGGCTGCCGGGAAATGTGAACCAGCCCTGATACAGACACAGCGGCAAACCACAAGCTAAGTTACGGACAACGCAGAACGGTTTTAAAAGGGAGTGGTACTAGTTTCTCCATACGATACTAACCTTTGTTTCAACTTCGGGCGATACTTTTTCCACCTTGTTCTTGCTTAGCAGGCTTTTCACCAGTTCTTCCACTTGCACGTTGAACTTCATGAACGTCACGTAGACGAAATAAGCAAGCAGCAGCGTTAAACTTTCCCACCACATGATGAAGTTATCCAAAAAGAAGATGATCAGCAATATCAAGTCCATGATGTAAAAAGACACATCCCGAAAGAGGGGCCACCAGGTGAGGTGCAGGATCTCCTTGGAAAATAAAGCACACATCCCAATCACAAAGAGGATATTGAACACGGCAGAGCCAACTATTGTTCCAATGCCGACATTGCTGTGGGATATAAAAACTCCTATTAGAGAAGTGAAGAGTTCTGGGGCTGAGCCACCAGCAGCCATGAATGTTGCCCCGGCCACATCATCAGAAATCGCCAGTTTTTCTGTAATGACTGTCAATGAAGGAACAAAGAACTCATCACAGACAATGGCTAAGGCTATGAACATGTAAACCATTCCACAAATATGAAGTATTACGGCACCCCTCCGTCTTTCTTCCAGAGAAAAAAGATCTTCCGGATACTCTCCCTTGGAGTGCTCCTCCGTATGGTTATCCTGCCCAGCTTCGTATTTCATAGAAATAGGTGAATCTGGAGCGCCGGTTTGATTCTGTTCGTTAAAGTCCAATAGAGTTCTTTGATGCATGTGCTTTGACTTATGGCTATCTAGATTGCTGGCTGTCTCTGTGCTATAAGGTTGCGACTGGAAAAAGGCACTAATTGAAAGATACAGCGTGCTAACGGCCACGATACCCAGGAAAAGTCCTGTTATTCGTATCAGTCTCAGCTTTTTCCTAACATTTGGGTGTTTCTTATAGCCAAGCAGTGGTTCTGGCAGACACAATTCCTCAAGAAAGTCAACAACAATGTTTTTGCACGGAGCCATTCTGAGCTCTTTCCTGCGGTCCAAGAATTTAAAGTCAGACAGATTGTTCTGTCATTCTTCTTTCACTGTTCAAGTAAATGTTGCTTTGACGTGTCCTTTCAGAATCCGATCGCTTTATGCTTCATGTGGAACACATTCCTTGGTTATGCTTAAAAAGAGAGAGAAATGTTTTCATCAGTTTAGTTACAAGGTCAAACATCTAATGCGTCAAAAGACATTTCCCTGTACATTATATAAAAAAGAGAGAGTTAAATTTCCTGCTACATTAAACCAAAAAGACTAATAACACATAAAAGTGCTGCTTAACATTTTATGTGATGGAAAACCTGGGACTGCCACCGGGTACGCAGTCAACAGGGAGGATTTTTTTTTCTGATTTTGAATCACTGCACTCTAGTCATCATTTAAGAATCTGAGCACTCATTTGCTAATTTCTCATAGCTGAAGCCAAACCTGCCAAGTTCATGATCCCAGGATCAGTCACTGAGCGTACCTGTCCTGATCCCTCATTCTTTTAGTCAGCATCAAGTTAACACAGGTGCATGCATACACTGATTGAGGGGAAGTGCGCAAATTCATTTTTCGGGGGGGGGGGCAGGGCAGGCGGAATCTGTGACTGCAGTTTGGTGAGAAGAAAACACAACAAGCGTCAATATTATTGTCAGGAAAGTGTGCAGAATGGTGATCTGGCTGACACCGCGGAGCATTCCAAAAACCAGTCCCAATTCACAATCCCTTTGGACTGGAGCTTTAGGATTTAAGCCACTTTAAACAATTAATACCCACCAAAGTCAACTGAATTAGACTGGCTGAAATCCAGCCGCTTCATATGGATCCACAGCTCTGTGGACCTAGCTGCAAGTTGTTTCTTAAGGACATTAAAGGCATTAAATATCCGATATTGCAATATGAAATTTGCAGCGTCGAAAAGTGAAAACACCCTGGCAGTCCTTTGGAAGCATAGTTAGAAGAATACTCAAATACTATCCAATGCGATGCACTCACTAATAGCAAACTCAGAGCCACTGTAAACTCGGAGCAATATCAGACGCACTGGAAGAAGACACTGCAAGAGCTTAAAGTGTGTTATCATAAAAAGAGAAGCTGTAAAAACCTTCTCACTGCCTTGGTACCCACCATCATAAAGGCAAAACATGTACAATGGATTCAACTGTCCTTTCCTCCCTGACCCTCCTTTTTGTAAGCAATCATGGCATACTTATGGCCGAGGAATTAATTACTCTCTAAGCCTCTCCTCCTCCGACCTCTGCTCATCCCTCAGACTCCGCTGTGCACTTTTCCCGGCAAACTGATCCTATTACCGTACAGACTAAGGCTTTCTTGTACTTTTTTTTTTTTGTAAGTTACCATCCGCAGGGCGTATCACGGTGCAGTTGAAATATTTGCTTCTCTCCAAATCAGAAACCCAGTCTGACCGAAAAACAATGACAAAACCTTCCCTATTGCATGGATGTCCCTTTAATTTTTTTTCCCCCAGAGAGAGGGATTTAACCGTATCCATCTCATTCTCCGAAACAAAACAGCTCTTCAGGATGACTGGAGCAAATCAGCCACGGCAAAGGAAAACCCCTTAAGGAAGACTGCAAAAACCTAGGCACACTTACCTGGCAGGACTTCATACATTTCTTTTTCTACTGCCCTATATATGAGATAATAAGAACTAAGCTTCTCCTCTTGATCCCGTCCACCATCACATCTAAGGAAGACTGTTTGAAATCGCTCCTTGTGGACGCAAATCCCCAAATTACACGTGGGGTGGCAATCTATATAGTGCAGGCTTTGAAACTCAGGGCTACTCTGACTGGGTAGTGTGTTCTAGACCTGGACCTGTTTTAATTCTTTTATAACCTTTTAACCTAATGTGCCGAGCCATTTTGGGCCAATATATGCTTTTATACATCTCCATTTTAGACTCCTGGCGTTGGCAACTAAATTTTTACATTATTGTCTTAGGGTAATTTTAAATGTCATCACGCCAGTATTATCACTTTGAATTTTGTTTGGTTGCTTGTCTCTAGCATTTTTTGTCTTATCCTGCTATGGCTGTATGCTAATGCAATAAAGGTTTGATTGATTTGATTGATTGATCACTTACCTGGGAGCAAAGGAGTCAACTCCTAGGGGCCGAGGTCCCTTTGGCACCCCAATAAAATATTTGAGGGGACCACCCATGGGTATGCCAGGATTTATGTTGGGGGGGGGGCAGAATCACAGGATTTTTTTTACTGATTTTATTGATTTTGGGGGGGGTATGTCCCCCAAGCAGATTAGCATTGCCATTCAAATGGTGTGTTCTCTTTGCCTGGATAACTCAGCTGGTTCTCTTTGCCTGGATAACTCAGCTGGTGAGAATGAGGGGTGCGAATGACGCCAAGGGTTGCGGGTTTGATCCCCGTGCTGCTTATTCCTGCACTGCATTGCTGCATTGCATGAGGTTGGGCTAGATGACCTTCGGGGGTCCCTTTCGATTTTTGCAAATTCCAGAATTCTCTGAAACTGGCAGCGCCAACCCAATAACCGGGTGGGGGTGGGGCACTTAGGGCAGGCTATAAATCCCAATGCATGCAAATCCCAATGAATGCAAACCCTAAATCCCAATGAATGCAAACCCCAATTGAGGTCACGACCCCCCCCCCAGCATCCTAGGCGCCCTCTCCCTCCCCGCGCAACTTACCACCCTGCGTCCTCCGTCCCCGGGCATGAGTGGGAAGCCCCTCCGCGGTCCCCCGGCGCAAAAACTCAGCCTTCTCCTCTCCAGCGCGCTCAGCGGGCGGCGGCAGACGCCTCGGACCCGGCCAGGCAGACCCGCGGCAGCGGCAGCAGCAGCAGCAGCAGCTCCGGGAGAGACCGACCGGCACCGCCAGACGCGCAGCATCCACTGCCGGGAAGAGGACCAGGAGAGCCTCCCGGGGAGCCACGCCCACCGCCCAGCCCAGCAACGCCCACCCAGGGGAACTGGGCGAGCCAGGAGGGCGGAGCTTCTCATCCCCACCCTTCGGGGCGGGGCTTCTCCGCCTCCGCCTTTTCCCGCGCTCTGAGGGGGGGAGGAGCCTGGCGCGGTCCAAGCCCCGCCCCCCGCCCGCCTCGCGCGCTTTTCCTCCTCAGCTTTCTCCCTCAGTTTCAATTCAATTTCAATTTCGACATGTCTGCGTCCTTTTTCCACAATAAACCATGTTCCTAGTTATATGTCTTGTCCATATCTCAGGGCAGCCACACACCCCAATCCTCAAACATTAAGGAAAAGCGTTAAAAAAAATTCTCAGGTTCCCCCCCATAACATTTTATTTCCCAACAATAACAATAATAATAAATTTTATTTATACCCCACCCTCCCCAGCCAAGACCAGGCTCAGGGCGGCTAACACCAGGTATAAAAACAATTGATTGAAATACAACTTAAAAACAAGTTTAAAATACAACATTAAAACATATAAAATATAACAAAAACAATAATAAAGATAACAAAAACAAAACAGATTGACTCCCCCCTATTCCCTTCCTCGGTTCCATTGTATTTCAGTGTACTTACTACGGTACATGTCCATTATAAAGTTTTAAGCCAGGCATAGGCAAACTCGGCCCCCCAGCTGTTTTGGGACTACAACTCCCACGATCCCTCACTAACTGGACCACTGATCAGGGATGATGGGAGTTGTAGTCCCAAAACATCTGGAGGGCCAAGTTTGCCTATGCCTGTTTTAACCATATGAATTACTTATTGTCCATTCATAATATAATTACAAATATTCTTCAAAACCCTGCCGATGTATTAAACTGCTTCTGTAAATATGCAGAACTGCTTCTGTAAATGTACACTGCTTCTGTAAATATGCAATACTGTAAAGTCCTTCCAGTCTTCCTTAAATTCGTTGTCGTCTCTTCCTCTTAATTTCATTGTCAGTTTCGCCATTTCAGCATATTCCGTTAATTTGACTTGCCAGTCTTCTTTAGCTAACAATGTTGCTGCAGCCTTCGTTGCGTACATAAACAAGTTCTTTTGTGATCTTGGTAAATCCATTCCTGTGATACCTAATAGGGAAGCTTCTGGGTTTGTTTTTGGACAAAGGTTGTTTTAAACAACTTCTTCATTTCATTATAAATCATTTCCCAATACTTCTCAACAATTTTGCAATCCCACCACATATGAACAATTAAATACTCAGTTTAACCTGCTCCCCTTAAAAATACCTGGCCCCGTCTTCTTTTTACCCGTAATCTCCCTCAAAAAAGCTTCACAACTCCCCCCCCAAAAAAAACACACACACACACAAACACAACAACAATCCTGCTTTCCATGGGCGTATTTTTGTTGGGGGGGGGGACAACCAAAGGTTTTTGGGTTCTTATAGGAAATCAAAATTGGGAAATAACGGGTAAAAAGAAGAGAACATTATGGAGGGGGGAAGCTTCTGCTGGGGGTGGGGGTGGCAGAACTTCAAATAATTGAGTATTTTCAATGCTTTTCAATCATGTTTGCTCCCACTCCCCTTGGCTTTGCCAGTGCTGGCTGGCTGCACCAATACAAATCAATACAAGTTTAAGGTTCTGCCCCCCCCCCCAAAACAAATCCTGGCTATGCCCTCAGAGGGGCATCTGCCACTCATTAAAGGAATAAAAATCAATGCAAATCCATACAAATCAGATGGCAATGCCCATCAACTTTGGGGGGACCCAGACACCCTCATTTATATTATTTGGGGCAGGAGGAACGAAGGGACCTTAGACCCCAGGAGTTGGCTCCATCTATGCCTCAGAGAGGATGAGAAACGCAGGAAGTGGCCAGATCACCGGGTCCATTGAAGCATCAAGTTGTTTGCACTGACTGGCAGCCTCAGAAGCCAACTCCTAGTGTTGTCAGCCGAAAAAATGGCTTATCTCCTGAGTTTACGCCGATAAAACTCAGAAACATGAGGAGTTAGTAGTCCAACATTGTTTATTGCAAAGCAATCGGTTACAGTCGGATCGTTCTGCAAAACTACAACCCCGCCTGGTGGTCCAGGCACGACTATTTATAAAGTTTCAAACAAAGCATTTCAATTTTCACCAGTCATATACATCATTACCTCATTTCATGATTAATACACATGTGCAATAAACACTGGCAATTTCTGCTGATTAAGTTCTGATTCCTGCTGTGTTCTGTTACATTGTGTTAGTGTGCATGTTGGGAATCTGTGTTACGTGTAGCCATTTGCACCATGCAACAACTTGAGCTGCAGCTTTGTGATTCAGCTGTATCTTTGTGATGACTATACAGTGGTACCTTGGGTTACATATGCTTCAGGTTACAGACTCTGCTAACCTAGAAATAGTGCTTCAGGTTAAGAACTTTGCTTCAGGATAAGAACAGAAATCGTGCTCCGGCGGCGTGGCAGCAGCAGGAGGCCCCATTAGCTAAAGTGGTGCTTCAGGTTAAGAACAGCTTCAGGTTAAGAACGGACCTCCGGAACAAATTAAGTACTTAACCCGAGGTACCACTGTACAGCTAAAGCGAGATGAGCGCCACAACCCCAGAGTCGGCCACGAATGGACCTAATGGTCAGGGGTCCCCTTTACCTTTTACTATATTAGCTATATTTCTGCCCCAATGGGGGGTGGCAACTTGCAAAATCATCAGTTGCATAAAACAACAGGGTACCATAACTTCTCCAATTGAAGCAAACTCAAGGATTTACAGGGGTACACATTATTACATTTATTGTGGCCCTTTGGGCCACTACCACAGCAGGGGCTGAGGTGCATAGCTGTCGACTTTTCCCTTTTCTTGCGAGGAATCCTGTTCAGAATAAGGGAATTTCCCTTTAAAAAAGGAGAAATGTTGACAGCTATGCTGTGGTGCCTTGGACCCCCCCCCCACAAAATGAAAAAATTGATAGGCATTGCCCTCCAAATGGGTGTGGGTGGGTGTGCCATGTCATGTTATGTGATTATGTGCTCCCCCATATTTTATTAATTTATGGGGGCAGGCAGTCCTTCCCAGGAACTCCGCTGAAAGCTGGGGTACCCTCAGCACCGTGGAAAACGGATTAGGATGCGGACAGAGGCAACAGCGGATGCCTAAACAAGGACAAGTCTGAGCCATAGAATCTGCTGCTCCCACCTGCGTGTTCTTGTCTACCCAGAAGTTTCAAGGAATGGGGCTTCTTGCCCCCCTGAGAAACTGCACCCGGGGCTCCTATGCTTTTCTGAGAGGCTGGATGTTAGCAGGGGGCACTTTTTCTTTCTTAGCCTTGTCGACTCAGAAGCCTGCCTTGCTGAGTTCAAGGGGATTTTCTTGCTTCCAGGGAACGATGCTTCTGATTGTGGTTGGGCAGTGCACTTCCTTCAGAATAAATCTTGCTGAATTTTTATCTGTAGGGTTGGGGTGCATAACATACCCAAAGTGTTATACCCCTCTCCCCTTTCTTAAATGAAGCTGTTGTTGTTGTTGTTGTTGTTGTTGTCGTCGTTCTTCTTCTTCTTCTTCTTCTTCTTCTTCTTCTTCTTCTTCTTCTTCTCTTCCTCTTCCCTTCCCTTCCTCTTCTTCCTCTTCCTCTTCCTCCAGGGACAGGGAGCCTACAGCCATAGCTGTCAACTTACAGATTTGAAAATAAGGAACCAGCAGCCTCAAAAATAAGGGATCAGCAGCCAAAATAAGGGATTTTGCTTAGCTTATGAGTGCTATCGCCCCTTCCCCACCCGAGAGGGAGGGAGAGAGACTCTCGCCCATGCCGCCCGCAAGCCTGGCATGAGGTGGTTGCGGCGCCGCTGCGGCCGCTGAAGTGCCGCCCTTCTGCATCCCTTCCCATCCCCTCCTCTTCCTCCTCCCTCAGGCCGCCGCTGCTGCCCGCTTCCGGCTTCCCCTGGCAGCGCGGCGGAAGCCTCGCAAGAGAGGGTCTGCCTGCCTGCCCACCGCTACCCATCTTTCACAACATGCCCCTGAGGGGAAAAGGGAGAGGTGGAGACGCGGCAGCTCATGCATGCGCTCTCTCTCGTGGCGGAAGGACCCCAAGCCGCTGCTTACCTCCCGAGCCGGGCAAGCATGAAACCCAGGAAATTTAAGGGACATCATCAATCCGGGACAGCAGCGGGACACAGCGCTGGGATAAGGGAGTTTCCCACCAAATAAGGGACAGTTGACAGCTATGCCTGCAGCCCTCCGAAACATTTTCCGATGTTTTCAGCCCCAACCAGCACAGCCCATGCTAGTGCTTCAGTGCTAGCCTGCAGTTCTGCGAACAAAATGCTGCAAACATGCACAGGACAGATGGATTTATTAAATGCCTTTCCTGTTTCGCAAGTGGAGTTGCCCATTTTTCATCTGAGAAGACATTGCCGCTGCACCTGGCATCTCCTCCTTTGTCCTTGGGCTGCAAAAGACCTGCAATCCTGCAGGCAGGCAGGCAGGCAGGCAGGCAGGAAGGAAGGAGGTCACAGCCAGGTGACAGAATATCCAGCTGCCATCACTCAGCGTCTCTTCGGAGGCGCAGCTGCTGCTGCACCTGACTCATCCCTCTCTGCCCTTGGAAGGTGAAAAGACGGGCCGTTCTAGGGACAAAGGAAATAAATGCACAGCCAAGCAACAGAACATCCCAGCTGCAGGAATGAAATGGGACAAAAGGCAAGGAGAGCAGTTACATAATGAGAAGTGGGTCAGGGACTGGGGATGAACTTGCTGCCTTAGCACAATGCAATGCTGGTTAGTAGGGTTGGACCAGTTCTGGTGTAAGTATAGTTTATTCATGCCTTGAGAAGCGTTCTGGATTGAAAGGCAGCACAACTAGGCTCCCGGACAGTTGTTATTTATCTAAATAGCAGGTAGAGGTGACGATATTAAAGGTAAAGGTACCCCCTGACTGTTAGGTCCAGTCGCGGACGACTCTGGGGTTGCGGCACTCATCTCGCTCTATAGGCCGAGGGAGCCTAT